GATGGATGGATGATTATTTCAGAAAATGTTTTTGTCAAAAACAAAAGAAATAATAATTGTCTTTAAAAAGCAGCCTTCACCATGCTTCTTGTTTTATCATTCGACACCTATGTGCTGTCAATGACAGCCATTTGACCTAAGAGCCAGTACAGAAACAACTTTTGCAAATTATTTGCTGTATATGTATATTTATTTTAAATGGATAACAGCAACATTTACATAAATTTACCTGAAACTATTTGGTTTCTGGTTCATGAAATGGTTTTTCACTTTACATTTATTGGTTGGTTTCTGTTCCTCATCTTAGAAAAGAAGCATTGGCTAAAAAGGCTCCAAAATAACATGCAGCACATTAACTGCTTAAGGAAAACCTCCAAGAGCCATGTCCTATACTTACAGACTGGTTTCGATCTGGCTGTAGATGCATGGTCCAGAAGGGCCAAACAAAAGCTACAAGTGTTTGTACCCAATAGTAATCGAGCATTGTTATTGTAATTATAGACCCATAACATTTTGTCAGGACACTAAAACACAAAAAAACAACATAAAAATTATAAGGCACGTAAGAGGAAAAGTACATCTCTGAAAGCAGCTGAAAAACATAGAAGCATGAAAATATGAACATGTGGATCTAGCCTGATGTATCAGACAAATCAGCAACTTTATCAGATTGACTCTTATTTTGCATTATGCAGTACCTTATGTTAATTTGTCAAATAAAATCCTATTAAATTGTTTTGTGGTTGCAATACGACAAAATGTCAAAAAGTTCAATGGACATGAATCCTTCTCCAAACTACAAAACTCAATAACCTTCATGGTTCATAAAACAGCATAAAGAAGTAAACTAAGGAGCAATGAATCTCAAAGTGTAAAGGTTTTAGACACACCCACCTACCTGCCAAATTGGCCAAACATCTCTCACCTGCCAGGACATCTGAGAACTTTTAAAATACAACGTTCTACTTTCACCACACAGCAAAGATGTTCAAGTGAAGCATGTAAGTTTCAGCTCTTCTTGAAAATACAATCTTTATTGCAAAAACAATGCATTTTAAAAACAGAACTCTCCCAAAGTACGTGTTAGTGGAGACACTGAGACACCGTCTCAGGTTTCTCAGCTCTCTGTGCTGAGGTGCATGTACTCCCCTCAGTCGGAGAAAAGGAGCAATATTTGGCAATTCAAGTGGCAAACCCCGATTACAATGACGTACTTGATTTTCATGCATGCATGCATGGGGGCGAGGTATGTGGGTGTGTAGGAAGGGGAGGGCTGATTATGCAGCAGACTTTTGACATCTGAAGGAAAGACGTTAGAGCTCAAACGGGACAGCAAACCAATCTTGCTCTGAAAATTATAGGTAAGTTTAATCACATTTAACCAAAACTTTGCTGTTGAACTGTGTAACTGTGTAACTTTGCTGTGTAAGTCTGCCACCAATTCATATAGATTTTTTTCTTTTTATTTCTATGTCTATAAAGCTATTTTCTTTTATTTGCAACAGCTTTATTTCATTTGGTACAGTAATATCACATACTTAAGAGCCTTAAACTTGAGTATGTATCTTTATCGATCTAAGGTTATGATGTAATAATGTTAGAAATTTATTCTATAAAATGATTAATAATTTTTTTATCAGAGGCAAAACTTTTTCTGTCAAAGTCTTACTGTACTTTACATGTACTGTAGATTTTGGCTTTAAGTCTTCTGTTACATACCAGCAGTATTTACCTTTTCCACTCGTCCTCTCTATGCATTTGTAACCTTAGCATAATTCCTTTAATTTCTAGAAACCATATAGGCATGAAACCAATTTTTTAAATGATCTTTCTCCACCTGTGAAATGTATCCCAACATCTCTTTTAAAATGCCGATCTAATGGCAGGTTTAAAAATAGTAGTGCTAAAGATTAAGGGTCTGATCTCCTAATCTAAGTTCATTCTCTTTCAGGGTTTGTTTTGTGGATTTCATGGCTCTTCTCACCAATATGGCCATCCTGATGGTCCTTGCTTGTATTTCCCATCAGATGGTGTTAGGTAGCTGTCACAGGGGCCATGGACGTAGAGGACAGGGGGACAAAGCGCAGCGCAAGGAAAGATCAGGGCCCAACCGTGTGAAACCTGTTCGAAGTAATCTGCTCACCAAAGATGGTTCACAGTGTACCTGGACTACAATGGATGAAGACCCCCTGTCACTCCTCATTAGTTGCATAAAGGGAGAAAGGAGCTTTGTTTGTACATATACCGCCAGACCAGCTCTTTGTCCCCAGTATGCTTCAAACACTTTACTCTACTGGAAGCAGATCAGCAGGGCTCTGAAGAAGCAAAACAACCTGTGTTATAATGAAGCCACATTAGTGAGGGCAGGCATGTGTAAACATGCTCCCAGAGACGCTCACTTTAGACTGGTAGTTTCAAAGAAGGAGGTGACACCCTCTCCTTTCATCATTTCAACACCTCCAAACAGAAGCACCAAATCCTGCCTGCCTAAAAACAAGAAACTGGCCAAAGAGCTTTGCAGCGACTCCTGGTCTAGTCTGTGCACCTTCTTTTCCACCATGGTGAATAATTATGATTGCTGAAACAAGAAACAAGGTCAAGCTTTGCAACCATATTAAGACTTACAGTATTGAAGTGTTGGATCTTTATAAGAGATTGTGGTCATGTAAAAAAAATGACAGTAGACAAAACTTGTAATGTGGTAGTGCACATTTGAGATACACAAATACACAGTTGATTTAAACACACACACACACACACACACACATATATATATATATATATATATATATATATATGTGTGTGTGTGTGTGTCAGTTTAGTTTTAATTACTTGTACAAGCTTTGATTAACAGTAACTATTACATTATTCGATCTGAGTATAAAATGTGGATCTGAGTGTAAAATCTGACGAGGACATAATGACTGTAAAGTTAGTTTTATGTTACATTAACACAATTTAACATTTACTGTTACAAAACTTGTTTGTTTATTTAATGATTTTATTCCCTTTTAAATGATTGTGATTCCTGTGGGACACAACCAGCATGTACAGAAATCCAGCCTGAGCATGATACATACTGAGATAAAGGATCCCGTCCATTCCATCAGGTGTATTACCCACAAAACTAGAATTAAATTGAGGATGTGATGAAACTTGAAAATTTTTACCAGAAGTCATGAATGACCACCACATTTCTTTACCCAATTTCATGGGCTTGCGTTTTAGCATTACTTTGCTTTGTATTAATCAGTTGGAATGAGTCTTTATGTACAGTAGATGTTGTAAGAAAAATATCTTTGATGTTTTTGTGTTAAAAAAACTAACTTTGCATCTCAAAGTATCATAGATTAGAAATGTCAAAGTGTGCAGGATTTGTTATCATTAAAATACTTTTTCTATGCAAATATTGTAATGAAAAACCCAACTGATCTTTTTCCAAAGTGTAATGGTTGACTAACAAGTTTTGCTGAAAATTATTTCAGAGGTGAATTAAGGATTTTATTCTTAAATCAGGATTTATAGTTGGAGATTTGTTCCTAAAGCATAAGATGAAATTCTGTGACTTCACTTAAATCATACAAAATTAAATCTATAACCTAACATAAACAGAGAACTGGAATTTTCAGGACTTTGCCTTTAAAATAAAAAATGTCAATAAGAATAAATTTAATTTGGTGTTATGTTCAATCTATGGACATAGCATAATTTAAGATGAAAACATATATTGTTTAGACAACAGTCTATATATATATATATATATTTACTATTTCAAAAAAGCCTTTAGGTGTGCAGCATTCATGCCCATGATATTCTCATATTTTTGTACTTATTATCAATATTCAACCTTTATCATTTTAATAAAAGCTTTATTTTAAAAGATAAACATCAGTTTGGATCCACTTCTTGTTCTTTTTGATTTTTTTAGGATGCATATTAACATCTTTGTCTCCTTTTGGTCTACCAGTAATAATCTGCTTCCATAACATCAGTATGAATATCAGCGTTCAGAAGTCAACCAGAGGTTATTAAAAGGCGGACTTCGACCAACCAGAGTCGTCTGAGGCCATGCTGAGATTTTAACAGGGAAACGATGTAATGCTTTTTCTCTTGATTTAATCCTGAACTCCTGCTGAAACCTAACGCAATCCCCACAGATGATATCCATCAAGTTTAGGCTCTCAGCAGGCTTTGCTCTGCTCTTTGTTGGAAATCTGTTATGATAAGAAAAAAAAAAAAAGACTTAAGCAATGTGGCTTAAAAGGAAAGAAAATTAGAGGGCAGTGACAAAGTCAGGAGGATTGCATTGAAGTGCAGAAGTATATTTAGGAAGGAATTTTCCTTCAGGCAAAGCTATAAAAACGCCACCTGCTGAAAGCATAACACTGATGCTGCAGGGAAGGTTGTTAAAGATAATGTAACAGCCCTCTAAAAAAGCATCCAGCTGCTGGAAAACCATCTCAAAGCATTTACTTTAAGAATTGGATCTTAAATTTGATGAAGTGGGTTCCAGAATTATCTTTTCAGTCTGGAATCTCTGTTCATCAACTATAAGATTAAATTAAACATTGTGAGGTTTACTTTTTATTTCTTATCTGACAGTAATCAGGTAAGGTAGAAGATAGGGAAAACAAGCTGGACCTAACAAAAAAAAGTTAATTGCAGTTAGTTTATGATATAACAAGGGCAAGGTAGTTTTTCATTTTTTATTTCAAGACACCCATCAGTATTCATTTAAGATTCATTTGCCTAATGTTTCAAGTGTTTTCAATCATATTAAAGGGTAAAAAAAGACAAATATGCAGGTAGACAGGAACAGTAAAGATTTAGAAATGTTTATTATTGAAAACACAGGGCCAGGGTCAGGGTGGTTTCAGAGAAATACTCACACTGTGAATAATTATCAGCAGTTCTCGGTGGTGTTAGTCAGACCATGCCACAATGTGCTATTAATCCGTGGAGAGGTTCTTTACAGTTGCTTTTGTATCTCTGCTTCGGATGGCCACTCACACTGAGCCTGGTTTTCCTGGAGGTTTCTTCCTGTTGGAAGGGAATTTTTCCTCTCCACTGTCGCTGCAAGCATGCTTAGTTTGAGGTATTGCATCCAAGTCAATAAGTCGATGCAATCAACTTTGAATCAATTTGACCGTATGAGCTGGTGAACTGTAAAGTGCCTTGAGATGACGTGTTGTGAATTGGTGCTATATAAATAAACGGAAATGAATTGAAATTGAATTAAAAAAAACATTGGTACATTTCCAAAAATATTCATTATTTTAAATATGAAATGTTTTTTTTTTAAGTTAGTCATTTTAACCTCTGAAACTGCTTGAGAGGTTGCTTATTAGGGTTTTTTCCTTTATTTTAAACTATATCAAATATAGCAAAAAAAAAAAAAAAAAGACCCAGCATTTTCCTGAGAAGTCTGATAAGTCTGAGAAGTCTCCTGCCAGGTAGGTTCTCCATGATCTCAGCCAACTTCTTGACAAACTGGAATTGTATTTAAATATCCAAATGCAGATCATATGGCAGCTTCCACAAAATCACTGCAATTTGCTCCATGTGTTGGTGCTCTCCATTACTACCTTTTTATTATGATGGTGTGTAAGTGTTGCAAGCTTCTTCAATTCGTTTTTATTAGGGCCCACACTGAGCAGATTACCTGGAACAACAGTTTAATCAAACGTTGATAAAACGTCCATGGTTAGTAAATATATCCCATTTGAAATACTTCTTTAAAAGTTAAAAAATGTACAGTTTTCATTTTATTATCAGCGTGTTAACAATCTTATTCAATCTTGCTTTGCTGTGTTGCATTTAAGCATGAGAAATGGCCTGGTTAGAACTTCCAAACGATTATTCTGCATCTCTGTAACCTTTGGCTTTCATACAACTCTGGTTCTAATCCCTTGAGATGTTATGTAAAATTAAAAGCCTTTTTAGGTGCACGCCACAAATTCTTCAAAGTATATTCTGAAACATTAGAAACAAGTGTTGGTGTGTGGTCCAAGTCTAGTGTGGAGTTACAGGTGGTGTGACTGCCTTCAGCCCCTGATTGGCTGATAAATATCAGTCGGTCAAACTGAAGATAAACGGGAACACACTCCAGTTCTTTTCAACACAAAAGAGGTTTGGCACTCTGTGTGTGGGGGCCTAAGTGATCATATGAATGCCTTTGTATGTGTCTAAATGAGCATTTGGTTTGAACAGAGCCTCAGTTGAGCAGGATTACAGGAATTACAGTAATGAAGGTGCACAAAAAATGTATTGTTGGTATGACATGTCAGATTAGTTTGTGTTGCTGGTTGCAGCAAACACTGCTCTACAGCTGATAAAATTCATGGCGCACAATTTTTACAATTAAATGAGTGAACAAAAAAAATCATGAAAGAGATTCCTGAGCTTTTATAAAGACCATATGCAGCTGTATTTGGACTTGAGATTGAAATCTGACACCAGCGTTTTTCACTTTAAATTACTGCTATTGGATGAACAGATAGTTCAGAAAGAGACTCATTTATATTAGTCAGAGTTGTCTTACTCTTACCAAAACAGAAATATTAAAATGTGCTCATGTAATTCTGAGTTTTGAGTACCTTTTTAGAGTTTTTACTTTGAGCTCAGTTGGGTTTTTTGTGTGTGTATTAAAACCCCTGGATATAACTGTTTCACATTGTTATGTTGCAACCAGAAAATTAAATATAATGCAAAAAAATGTATGAAAAAGAACAAACCAAAGTAGCAAATATTGCAAAGGCATAGAAAATGTTTAAAATTGCATTTGTATTAAACGTCCTCTGAGAGAATACTTTTTTTTAATCAGTTCATGTTGCAGCTACAGCTGTAAAAATCTATTGAAGCTTGTCTCTATAAAGTATACACATTAAATATACATGCAGGCTACTTCTCATTGGACTTTCAGAGCATGCGATTGCTTGGTTTATTAAATAATTTAGAAAACAGGTCCCAGTGTATAAATGTGAGGGCCTTTGTTCTGAATTTGTTACAGTTCACAAGGGTTTGCCACAAGGATCTGTTTTGGGCCCCCTCCTATTTATCTTGTACATCAACAATGTTAAACAAAATTTCTCTGATGCTAATTTGCATCTTTATGCTGAAGATACCATTATTTATTGCTTTGGGTCATCTTTTGAACAGGCTATTATTTCTCTACAGAAAGCCTTTGTTGCTGTACAGTATTTTGTTATTAATCTTAAACTATTTCTCAATGCTGACAAAACAAAGTTAATGTTGTTTTCAAATCATAGGAAGGTGCCTCAAACCGTGTCAGTAGTGTCCACTCTGGAGGGGAATGTCATTGAGGTGGTACATGAATGTAAATACCTTGGAATTGGAATTGATGACTCCCTCACCTTCGAACCTCTTATTGATAAACTTGTGAAGAAATTAAAAGTTAAACTGGGCTTCTTCTTTCGTAATAAGACATGTTTTTTTTTTTTGGAGTGAAAAAAGCGCCTTGTCTGTGCCACGTTTTTATCGGTGTTAGATTATGGTGACCTTTTTTATAAGATTGCTACTTCTTCGTGTCTTAAAATGTTGGACTCTGTTTACCATGCTTCATTAAAGTTTATCACAAACTGTAGAGTCATGACACATCACTGTGACCTGTACTCTCAGGTGGGATGGCCTTCCCTCTCTACCAGAAGGCAGTGACATTGCCAATGGCATAACTATTGGTAAGCAGAGTATGCAGTTGCTTAGGGGCCCTCGACCTCATAGGGGCCCTGTCACTGACAGCTGGTAGGCCCCCTACACAATTGTAGGCTAGGACGTCTCTTTGCAGATGCAATGGTGCAAAAAACTCCTCTTATACCCACATGATACTACATTGACTGACGGGACCTTATTTATACTCCAACACATGGCAGATTTCAACATGATGGTGAGCCGTTTAAACATGACACCGATAGCAAAGCAGACAGTGGTACTTTTAATTACTATTTTAATAACTGTGTATAGTTCATTAGACGGTTGGTAAAAAATACACTCATATAATATGTTTCAAACCGAAATAAAGATCTTAAAAGAACAATGTATTTGATTATTTTATTTTTTTTTACAATACGACTTGGAATTATGGGTAACCCAGAGCGTGGATTAAAAGCATAACCGTTATATACAATTTGTTAGCTATGATAGATACCAAAAAGAGGAACTTAAGTGGATTCCAGAAAAGAAAAAGCAAAGAAGATCTGCTGGGAGAACGAAAAAACATTCCAAAACAAACACGTTCTTTCTAGGAGCCAAAGAGGAAGAGGTGGACATTGCTGCTACAGTGAGTGAAGATTGAGCCCAGGCGATGAATGGAGAGAGCGTGGGCGAGGAGGGGGGCTGTGAAACTCAAGGTAGCCTGATAAGACTCATTTTAAAACAGAATATAAAAAAGTATATCCATGTCTATTTAAGGTAAAGAATGATGAAATGATGAAGTGTTTTGTACTTCATATGGGGCCCACCCAGTTAATGTTACTTATGGGCCTATTCTTGTGTTGCCATTGCTCATTGGTACACTTTTATTTCCAAGGCCCTTCTTGGATTACTGCCCTTTTACATTTGTACCTCACTTACTGTACACAGAAAAGCATGGCTTCTTATGCCCTGAGATCCAACGATCAGCTGTTGCTCACTGTTACTTTTGACCACACAGAACTAGGGACAAAAGCCTTTAGCTATGCAGCTCCTTGAGCATGGAATTTTTTACAGAGAAACTGGAAGCTGACTGAGTTTTTATTGTTAAATGCTTTAAGGTTGGAAGTGAAAGAATTTGAAGCAGCCTCAATTATCTGTAATTGTTTTACTTGATATATTTTTTTATTTAAATGCCACTTAATTTAATGTATCTCTGTATTATTATGTAACTTTGCTGCCTTACTCACTTGAAAAAGAGGTTTTTAATCTCAAATTAAAATATAATAAAGGTTATATAAAATATAAATACACGTTCACAGAATGAGCTATTAGGTGTTTACCAGCTCAAGCTCTGTCACTTTAGAAAAGTGTTTTTGGATATCAGCTTTAAAGTTTTTCTACAAATCATCAGCTGGATGTAGGACTGGACTTTGTCTAGTCCATTTTATCGTATTACAGTACATCACCTTAAACTAATCTCAAATAACTTTTACGGTGTATTTTGTGCAGTTCTCCAGAAGTAATTGCCCCAGTCTTAATTAATTTGTTGATTCTAATCAGGCTTTTACACAGCTTCCCTGACACTGATGGAGAAAAAAACCTTCTCAAAACATTAATTTTAATATCATTATGTTCGGATAGAAATCGGGGGTTTAGAGTTGTCACAAAGGGGGTAGTGGTTTTTGAGAAAATAAAGATGCTTAATCCAAAAATCTAAAAATCTGAACTAAAGATAATGAAACTTAATCAATCCAAAAGTAAACTTATTTAAAAAACAACATTGTTGTTTCTATTAGTTAAAGACTAACATTTAGTATGAAAGCAACAAACTTTCAGCACAAGCACCTTAAGCGCCTAGGACCTGTCATCTAATGTTTATTCTGCTTTTACTAGAGATATAGTTTTATTTCATTATCCCTAAATGGACCTTTTACTTTTTTAAATATCTCTTCTTAATTTTTTTTCCCAACATACTATAATATACTTTGATGCTTGCATGTTGCCGCTTCTCTTTGAAGTTGCTGCTATAAAGAAGCATTTACAACTGCTATGCCTGCAGAAACAGTCAATAACAGCAAACTAATCTGGGAAAACTGCATCATGTCTGAAACGACACAACAAGAGGATGATCTTTACAGAAAAGAAGCAGAAAGTCACACGTCACAAGTCAAAGTGCCCACGGCACTACATTAATCACAACATGAGAACGTCAAACTGAACACAGTGGTTTGTAGAAAGAGCAGCAGTCTCTATGGGAAAATAAGCAAGCATGTGATGCCTTGCCAAAAAGCATAAATGTTGAATTTTTCACATCATGTCACGTGACAACTAATATATACTGTATATGTATTTTTTTATTTATGTGATAAACCAACACAATGCATTTTTTATAATCATTATTTACAGATTTCTATTGTGGTGATAGAAATCTGGAAAGTGGCTTTGAGATTTCTATAAAAAAACATTATAGAACGAAGAGCATCATGAAGACCAAGGATCACAGCACCTTCTTGAAGATAGAAGGTAAATAGGTGTAAGAAAGTGTTCTGATCAGAACAGACCAAAACTAAGTATGCTACCAAACATATGGTGAAACATGGAACTGGCTTTAAAACACCCTTGAGGAGACAGATGGAAGGAAACCAGTTCAGTCAGTTATAACTAAAACTGAATTTATTTACCTCCCACTGGATCTTAATGCACACCACACTATTCAGATGTTTGTCATATTTAGTCTTCTCTAGAATTATTGTCTACTTTGTATTAAATTACATTGGGAATTTTTCCTATCTACTATTGTTTCATGCATACTCGGTGTGAGGGATTGCTGTAGAGTAAACAACAAAATCTAACTTATCAGTACCTATGCTTTCTGGTTAATGTTTTGGTCACTTTTGAATGTTGATGGTGCTTTCAAAATCATGGTAGCATAAGACAGACTCTACAACCCATACAACTGACTCAGGTTGTGCAGCTCATCCAGGACAGCACATCAGTGTGAGCTGTGGTAAGAAGGTTTACTGTGTCTGTCGTTGTGTCTGTTGTAGTGTCCAGAGGCTGGGGGTGCTACCAGGAAACAGGCCAGTTCACCAGCAAATGTGGAGGAGGCTGTAAGAACTAAAAAACCCAGCAGCAGGACTGCTACCTCTGCCTTTGTGCAAGGAGGAAAAGGAGAGGCACTGCCAGAGCCCTGCAAAATGACTTGGCATTTGCTAGAGAACACCAGGTTTGGAAAATTCACCAATGGCACCCTGTGCTCTTCACAGATGAAAGCAGATTCACACTGATCACATCTGACAGACATGACAGAGTCTGAGGATACTGTGTAGAGCAATCTGCTACCTGCAACATCGTTCAGCATGATCTGTTCGGCAGTGGGTACATAATGGTGTAGGGGTGGCATTTATTTGGAGTATTATGAGCAGGACATATATATCAACCAAGCATTATATGTGTGTATAGAAAAGAGGTCAACAGGGCTCTGAAAAAAAAATTCAAAAGGTGTTTTAGTGACAGAGAGCATTACTGAAACCTTGTGCAGGGGTTTCATATTGTTTATTGCACAGTTCAAAAAGGTTATATACATAAGATTTGAAAGTCACTATAACATGTGGAAAAATAGACAAACAGGACATTCAGACATACGTAAAAAGGTAGGATTTTTACAAACCAGGTTTAAGAAAAAAAAATAGACCGTACTTTGGTTTAAGATCTTTCCATAAGATATAAAATAAAATTTGAAAAATTTTTGAGTAAAGAACCAAACTATGTTCCTTAGATCAATGTGGTGAGATACTGGGGATGCTAAACTTTGCTGCCACCCTGTGGTTTAGCTTCAGTGACCTGGAACATTTGTCATCTTCTACGGATTGTTAACACATGGGGCCTTCGTGAAAAGATCCTTGTTTAAGTCAACAAGTGTGTAATGCCCTCCTATTACGTATTGATTACTGAGAGCAGGCTTAGCTTTCTTTTCTGGATCAGTATCTCATTTGTAATTAATGACAGCAGCAGTGGTGTGGACATGTTGCCTAAATAATTGATCAGGAGTATTCTTTTTTTGTGGGCTAATTTAACATTTACAATGAGCACAAATTAGGTACCGAATTGTCATTGATGAGAACTTGACCTGTATTAGAGTAACCCCTTATAATCTACAACAAAATTAATATAATTTTTCATATTAAAATCAAGCTTGCATCTCCTCTAAACATTGAAGAGGGGCTGCTGAAGTGTGTTGTTTCCGATATTAACAGAGCTGATATGCTTTCTGGTGATTCATTTGTAATTTGCATTCATTTAATCAACAGTAAATTAGAGAAGGAAGAAGAAAATGGATCGATATCTTATTCTGTGTGAGTAGAACTGTCGCAGCTCATCCCTTAAACACGATTAATCCTTCCCACCACAGAGGTACAGCAACGCCTTCTGGTAGTCCCCTGCTGTGTCCTCCTGCAAAAAGAAAAGATGTGGAACCCTTTTTTTAGTCACAGGCAGAAATATTTCTTCCTTTTGTGTTGAAATTGATCAATTTCTCTTCAGTGTGTTTTTTTTTTTCTAGAGACATGAGACATTTTGGATTTAACAATGACTCGCAATGTGACATGTGTGTGGGTGAGGATCCATGATTGGATCTCCTGCTCCTCCTCTCCACATGGTGATGTGCCCTTCAGCAGAAGACAGAAACTCACACTGCTTGCATCCTTTCTGTCAGAAGCAGAACAACTGTTTCACATCTGGGAGGATAAATTCTTGATATGTGTATTTGTATATTTAAGCCTCCACTCCGGTTGACAAACAAGAATTTGTGTATAATTACTGCTACTATTTGCATCAAGAGCACTTTATAGAGCACTTTAAATCAACCACAGCTGCAACAAAGTTCAGCACATAGAAAACCATAACATTGCAACAAAACTATAGAAATGCATTGAAATCCATTGACTCATTGAAAATGAAAAGTTTAAATAAAAGTTTAAATTTATTTTATTTTTTTCTCCCTACTGAAGCTGCTACCCCCTCGACCCGACCTCGGATAAGTGGAAGAAGATGGATGGATGGATGGATGGATGGATGGATGGATGGATGGATGGATGGATGGATGGATGGATGGATGGATGGATGGA